AAAAAACATTTTTTCCACAATGTATTATTCCTATTTTAGAAAAGACATTGCAGTAAAAAGATGACAACTGTGATACAAATATTGTGTTACCCTAGTAATAATCTTCAAGGTGGACATGAGGCGATATCTGTTCGCAACCGGCGTAAGCCACACTCGTGGGTGCTCTATGCGGCGAGACCTGCAAACTGGTGGCAGGGATCTGTTATACCGGCATTTAGCTTGTGATTGGCTGGACCAAGCGATCTACGAGGCGCGGATGGTGGAGGGATCATTCGTGGCGACATATACAAGCTGTCGATCACGGGGAAGGTGGTGGAGGAAAATTATTAAAAACGTGAGCGAGTAATCTCAGTGTAATAATTCAGAAGTGCGATTATCCACGTGCTGTGTTGTGGCGGTGATTAAGTGTTAGTGTGGCATTTTTCAAGCGTGATTTGAGAGTGAATTGAGTGGTGTTAGTCAGGCGTGTGCGACAAAGAAAATGGCGGCACCCGCTGAAAAAGACGGCGGTGCCATGTCAGTGGGCGAGAGTGATGCGGAATTAGATTTCGAGGCGGAGGAGCTGAAACAGGTGAGCCAGAAAGAAACAGAGGCGATAATTTTGCGAGTTTTCGAAACTCAACTGGCGGGGCGAATATCGCAGATAATTGAGCGACAGGCGACTCAAGCGATTGAGAGGGCGGTTCTACAAACGGCGAGTAGTAGTTCCAATGGCGTAGTGTCACCTGCAGGCGGCTGCGTGACTACCAGTGGCGGAGTAGAGAAGGATACAAGGGGAACAGAGGCGAGTTAAAGGCGATTTGAAAGCGGCTTCTGCAATGTTGGAGGAATTCGACCCGGAGGACCGTGACTCTAATATTGATAGATGGTTGTCCATGATAGATCAGTTGGGCGAGGTGCATGGATGGTCTGAATATGAGAAAAGTTACTTCATGCAGGCGAGAACATGGTTTAACAGGCGAGATGATTTTTAGCTTAGCTGGGCGGAGTGGAAGGTGAGCTTGAAGAGAGCGTTTCCCAGGCAACATGATTTTGCTGTATGTCTGGAGGAACTTGTGGAAAGGCGCAAAGTGGCGGACGAGACCATGACCCGATACTTTCATGCAAAATTTGCGTTGTGTGGACGTGTTGGTATCGAAGGTGAAAAGGCAGTGGCGTGTATAATAAGGGGATTGCCGGAAGAACTTCGAGCAAATGCTTATGCGTGTAGGGGCGACACACCTGAGGCGTTGTACACGCAGTTTCTCGCGGGTTTACAAAATTATAGGTTTCCTAGGGCGACAGGAACCATTAGGAAGGGCGAGTCCTACTCTTCAGTGGCGAAGGCGAGGCGTTCAAGTCCAGGGGCGACGGAGAGTAGGAGACCGGCGACAGGAAATGCCAGGCCGTTGCGGTGCTACAGCTGCCAAGAATATGGGAACCATATGAGTAGGGACTGCCCGAAGCCTAGGCGGGAGAGATGCAGTTACTGTGGAAATGAAGGCCACTTCTTCCAGAGGTGTCCCAAGAGGCGAAAACATGGCTATCAAGACAGCAGCGGCGAGAAGGGCGACGCTCCGGTGAAAGTCAGCTTGATAAGTCCAATTTTTGATAATACTTACAAGAAATGGGCGACAATTAATGGCGTACAAATCAAGGCATATATTGACACTGGATGCCAACATAACTTACTGGCGGATCCGTGCGCTGACCGCCTGGGACTAGACGTGACGCGGGAGTCCACATTCTTGGAAGGTTTTGGCGGTAGTTTAGGCGCAGCCCAAGGGTGGACCATCTGCAGGTGGATTATGTGCACTGTAGAATTCCACATATCGATACAAATCAACACCATTGGTATTCTGTGCCTTCTTTCTACACCGCTCTGCCCTTTCCCCGCCTTAGAGCGTAACTAGTGACAGTGGCGATACGTAAAGACATGTCGATTAATAGGAGAGGGAATTAAATAAAACAAAGAGAGACAATGAATAATGAAGAAATATTCCATAAATGGCATAAATACAAATATTCTGTGATCTATGTTTTCTGTTTTGTGGTTTGTCATGGTTTTTATCTGTCACAATAACAAATACCTAAATAAGTTTAAAAAAGGGCAAAATTTATTAAAACATATTTAACATTAAATTAAAAATCAAGGAACTTCAATGTGGAAAAATGAGTCACGCCTAGTCACTGGGAAGCATTTCTCGACATTGCAGAAAAGAATCCGATGTTAATAACCAGGGAGACTAGATAAGGAGCACGAACTCATACGGGAAAATTGAGAAAATTTGCCCAAGAAATGGCAGAAGTTGGGTTGGCGCTAGTGTTCCATATGTCCCAAATGAATGTAACTTAATAAATACGAGTGAAGTAAGCAAATAACGAATTTTATTTTATTTATATTGAGTTTTGAGTTTAGTAGATAGATATATCGGCGACGTATACTAACTTAAAAACTAGAAGTCAAGTCAATAATTATTACAATTTGTTTTTATAAATGGTAAATAAAAAGTTTCGAAAATAATTTAAATATGGTAATAGTATGTGAAGTGAATGACTGTCAACAGATTTAAAATAAAACAGTACGTTTGTGATCTGCATTTTCAATCTAATGATGTCCAGCAGTTCTATATTACAACTTGACCGAATAGTGGGTTAATATTATGGCAAAAGGTCGAATAATTCGGAAGTTGGAAGCAGCTTCTTTGATTCTTAATACGGTAGAGAAATTTTTAAATAGAAAGATTTCATAAGTGAAAATATTGTATAATTGAATGATGCATTGTTTCTTTATATATTTTGCAGCAGCATCAACAGCAAGAGCATCCGCTACACCAGCAACAACAGGTGCAGCAGCTACAACAAGAGCAACAGTTACAACAACAACAACAACAACAACAACAACAACAACAAGAACAGCAAGTAAATCAAGAGCAATTAAGTTACGATGAGATTATACTAGAAAGTGAGCATCCTGTCCTGTATAATCTAATAAAAGAAAAGTTCTGTTGACGTGTGATGAGGTCTCGACAAAGCAACTATGAATATGTTCACATAATATTGACAATAGCAACAAAGTATACTTTATTTATTTCTACATATTCTTGTAATTTATATTACGTGCATAAATAATTAAATTCGTATCTTTCATATAATTCTTGCTGGTGACATCGCTATTATCATTACTGAATTGAATAAATCATTTCCAATTAGTTGCTGTTTCTTTCCTGTTAGTAAAAAACTGATTGAAATTCAGATATCATATAAAATTTAAAGAGAGGATACGTGTAGTAATTGATGCTGATCGATCTGTATTGGTAATTGACTACTTTTACTAAATATTTAAACATGGAAATCAATTGCTTCATGAACAAAATGAAATTTTAAGAAGATAGACTGACACGTATTACTTATTTTTAAGTTGTTTTATTTGTAATATATATTTACTTTGTTACTTGTTTGTTATGAATAAATATTTATTTTATTTTAATTAGGCACAAATAATTTCGTTTTTTTTATTCAATTAATAAAACATTGAAATCTTTGGTAGATAAACATTTTATTTTTACAAAATATATAACAAAAATATAGAACATTGCTAAAATATTTCTTTATAATACCTTATTAATTTTGGTCTATACTCTACCTTGGAATAAGTCATGGAACCATGTTACGTTCGAATTAAATCAACAATTTTACGAAAGTAGAATTAAATTTTACAGCAATTTTAAAATATATACCCAGAAAACTAATCGATTTTAAACAGTTATAAAATATTTAGATTACCTATTTTTTGTGACCTTTATAATGGAGTACCTATATTTTGTTAAAATTTTGGTATCAATTGGTTGTCATGTTGTTTTAAGCTTCTTGACATTTTGAGAAGAGAGCGATATGACTCTCGAAGCATTGAGAAGTCTAAACCGACAACATGGCAATCAGCTTAGAAATTGTCCAACCATAATTTATCGACTTTCCATAGTCAGTTTTCAGTTACACTATAATAATATAGTATATTATTGGTTATTCAAAAAAATATGGATTGTGATATACTCTATCTTATATGAATTCCTTTCCCATCAATTATTCCTATAACCTGCTCTGGAAATTCATATTGGGCAAAATATTGTTCGATTACAACTGCCTCATTATCTCGGCCATTCTATAATTTGTGGAGACAAGTTACTTAGCAAGTATGTAACTTTTCTGGTTGTTGTAGAGCTTAAGGCAATGCAAAATTTACCAGAATCATGGGTGAAATAATTAGAAATGGCAAATTTTTCTTCAATTCTGTTAGCTACTTCCCATATGCTAACACGGAAATGTTAAAAAAACTTGGCCACTATATTCAGGTACAGTAATTTCAAAGTAGTTCTTATTTTTTACTCTTTCTGTTTCTTAGAGTAAATCTATTTCATCATCACTCAAGCTGGACAATGCGTCTAATAAGTCATCTGAATCACTGGACTCAAAATCGGACATCTGTAATATTTTAAAAAGTTTATTTAAAACACCGAGTTTTTTTATATTCTATTTTTTATTACCACAAGTAAAAATTCCATATTATTAATACAAGAATTACTATTTTTTTAAAGGCAACTTCCTGTATAAAATGTGACTATTTTTTACTAACATTAAACTAAAATCTTTAACAAAGTAATTATCAAAAACATAAACCTTACTTATAGGTTAATATTAACAAGATCACGTCATAAATTCCTTGAAAACTAGTTTCTTTCTACGAACACCAAATTCTTCTCATAAAGCTAATATTTTTTATTATCTATTTAGTTTAATTACAGTCCGGAATGACATATTTTCATGATTTATATAATTCAAAGTAGCTTACATTATTTATTTTAAAATTTTTAACACATTACAAAAATGACATGATTGATTTATAATTCAAACTGCCGCTTTTTATCTCCCCTCTCTACATATGGGACATATGGAACACTAGCGCCCTCTTATTTTTGTAAGATTTTTGTTTACATGGAGTTCGGGCTCCTTGTATAGTCTCCATGTTAATAACTAATAAATTCAATGGAATCGAAGAAAAGGCTGTAGGCAATAACTTATGGAAGTCAATAGCAATAAAGTTGAATAGTTTAGGATACGGAGAGAAAACAATAAATGAATGGAGACGGGTAAGAAAATTAAACTAATTTTCTTAGTTACATACATAGGTACTTATAGTACCTATATATTCTATATTTAATAAATTTATGTTGATTATTTTACTTTGAATTATACTTTTCAGGCTGTAACAGACTGGAAATCAAAGGTAAAATCTAAAGCTTCAAGAATTAGAAATTCTTTATTGCAGACTGGTGGGGGCAGTTTTGATGCCCCACAATTAACACCATTAGAAGAAAAACTTCTGAGTTTGATGGGAACAAAATGTATTGCTGGTGATGTAGGTGTTCAAGAATTAGGACAAAACATAGTAAGTAGAATTCAGTTTTAAAAAACATACATACACAAATAGAAAGTATACAAAAATATAAGTTTCCTAAGAAGGCTAATTCTTCATTGATGTTCTTTTCCTGTTTGTATAACGAAATTGGTTATTTGTTAATAGAATTACTGATAAGTTTCTGATTTAAGTGTTGCAAAAAGCATGATTATCTTTATTATTGCAGAAATCTCACTCCCAGGCTTCTACACCACAAATAGTTCATGAGATTGAAGTAGTTGATACATCATCTCAGATGGATAAGTCATCAGAAGAAGTAATGGATGATGAAATTACAAACATAGATCATGACTATTCAATAAATAATGGGAAAAGATGTAATAATAACGACCATGCCACCAAAATGAAACGGCAGAAGATTACAAGTATTCCAAGAATTTCAAAAAATTTGGTGGAAATGACATCACAGTCCCTCAAGATTTTGGAATCTATTGACACAAATATATCTCGAATAGCGAACTCATTCCAAGATTTAATAGACATTCTAGGTGCCAAAGCTCTTTAAATTAAATTTAAAATTAATAAAAACCATTACATAATAATTAGTTTCATTCATCAACCTTTTTGAATGTTTAGTGAGTAATCACAATAATCAGTTGTTCAGATAGCAGATATTTAAGTGATTTCGTTAAATCTTTTTTCAAAAAGAAGTCTGTAAATAATTTCTAATGGTTTTCTAAAACACTAATTTGTACAAAAATGAAAAAGAAATAAAAACATTTAAATATCTATATATTAATGTAGTGTAGTGGGATTTATAGAGATGTTAAATCGTAATTCACTAAATATTTAAACTTTATTTGAAAGATAATGAAACTAAACTTTTTACATCTAATATGACACTAATATTTTAAAGCCTACATCTAAATATTTCTGATACTGCATTAATGAACTTACAAATTTTATTTTAACAGAACCTATAGTTTTGATCAGCAAAATATGTTTGTGCAACATTTATTCTCGCTATTTGTCCTTCTCTTGTTACATTTCTATCCACGTTAACATTTTCATAAACTTCCTCAGGTTCACGTGGTGGAAGATCAAAATCTATATCTAAATTAGGGGAATGTGGACTGAGACGGCATAGCGGCTGAGATGGCATAGTCGATGAAACTCAACAATCCGTTGACTAGTGGCTCCACGGGTCCATCACTAATGCAAACTCGTCGCGTCGTCGCGATCTGCCGGCTCCCAGTGCGCGAGAGCGATTGAAGCGGACACCACGTGCGTTTTTGTAAAATTAGCTCTTAAAAAATATTTTCGCATTAAAGAATAACTAAGATTACAAGGTGTTCCATATGAGTTATCAGGTAAGTTTGACTGTATTTTTGAAAGCCAAGTGTGATATTTATACCAATTTTTTAAAAAGTTACGTAGCTTCTAGATTAATGGAAGTGCAATGTTTATTCTCAGAAATGTACTTATAGGGTAAGATGGCATAAGGGTATGCCATCTCACCCATCAGGCCTTAACTAGAGAATCGTAGTCGAGTAATAAATTAGTTTGTTAATTAAGTACTATCTTCTCGACAATTTATGACGTGAAACAGTTTTTAATAACAATAAGCAGCGAAACATTCCCGTTTTTGTTTTAGAATGGCGCCATACATTAGGAAAACGACAAGGCAAGCTTGGGGTGAACAAAATATGAAAGATGCAATTGCAGCGGTTCATAGCAAAAGAATGGGGTGGCATATGGCAGCAAAAGCATACAATGTTCCAGCTACTACACTCCGACGGCGAGCAAAGAAGGAGAATCTTCTAAAGGGTATTTGGGTGGCCATAAATCTACATTTACTAAGGATCTCGAAAAACAAATAATTAAGCACTTACAAGAGCTAGAGGTACTTTTTTTTTGGATGACTACAACGGATTTGAGAAGGCTTGAGTAGATATGCTACCTTCGTTCTACGCCAAAATCCCATGTATTTTCTTATGAAGGTTCATCCTGGTCATTTTTGACGAATTTTACCCCCACTCCTCCTTTCCCCCCCCTCCCCTTCCCCGCTAGCCAATCACAGCGCAGCATTTTTTGCGGGGAAATTCAAAATGTAGTCACCTAGGGCTTTGCCGCACCTAGGGCTTTGCCCCCGCCTATGACTTTGCCCCCTAGGGCCCCCATGCAGG